ATTGGTTATCCTGATTAGAAATGATTTATTTTTTAGTGAGCGAATGTTTAAAAATGCTAACTTGATGGCATTGCATTTTGTTTCAACAGCAATATTAGTTTGATGCATAACAGGCCGCAGATTAGATAAGTCAGCCGTACGGCTTAAGAAGCCCTTAGACTTTCTATCACGTGATAAAACAGAAATAGAGAAAACTACAGGCACACTGGGTTCCCGCTTGTTCTGTAAACATTTGTGAATGTTGCTGCTATTATAGCGGGGACCCGACACATATCACTGAGAGCTGTTATCGGTTGTTTTTGGTTCACCTACAGCAGATGGAGGGTTTGGGCCCTGGCGTTGTGGCAGCGGCCGGAGAGCTCTCACAGGAGGAGGAAGACGAGCTTATAGGCTTTAAAGGGAACTGTGCGTTTTTGAATTAGGGGTTTTTCTTTCAATGCTTTCACATCTCTGATGTTAATCAAGATGACCTTAGCACCAGTGTCTAACTTAAAAGGTACTATTGTCCCATTAGCCACAAGAGCAACAATCCACTTAGAAGACTGTACAGAATCCTCAATAGACACACCTTTTGCCTCGGCCAGAGTTGTATCCTCTTCAGAAACCATCTGCACGTAAAAGGAATCACTCAAGGTATCACTCTCATCTGTATCCTCCACTACATGTACTCTCTGTTCCGTTTTAAATTCTTTTGACAAGCACATTTTTGCAAAGTGGTTCAGGCCATTACATTTAGAACACCGTTTACCAAATGCTGGACACTGTCTGAACTTATGTTTAATCCCACAGCGTTTAAAAAGAAATGTTTCATTGTCAGTGCTTTTAAAGCTTCTTGCATTACCTCGTTTCTTGTCTCTGAAAGATATGGCATCGATGGCTGCGGCTGCATTCAGAGAAGACGTCGCTGAAGAAACATCAAACTGCATCACTTGCTGTCTCGCTAATTCGCTGGACTGGCACAATTCAACAGCATGATCCAAGGTGAGTTCAGACTCTCGTAGCAATCTTTCTCGCACTTTCTTGTCACATATGCCAAAAACAATCTGATCACGAATCATGGAATCTCTTAATTCATTAAAATTACAGGTTTTTGCCTTTATCTTAAGGTCAGTAAGAAAGCAATCAAAAGGCTCTCCTTCATGCTGCATTCGCGTTCGAAATACATATCGCTCACTCTTCTTTGACAAGCAATGAGCATCAAATTTTTCCAATACCTTATCCAGTTTCTTTTTATCTGCCTCATCTTCAAAATTAAAGGTGTTGTATACTTCCACAGCGTCTACTCCAGCAATAGTAAGTAACATAGCAATCTTCCTTACATCTGCAGCTTCTGCTTGGCCAATAGCTAAAACATACAACGTAAACTGATGTTTGAAAGTCCGCCAATTTGCGTCAACATTTCCACACAACTTCAAAGAGCCCGGTGGTTTAATTGCGTCCATGGCGTTCTTCACACCCCACTCCTGGTACCATGTATTATTCAATAACCAGACAAGGAACCAATATAAAGAGGTATTACTGGTACTGGTGCTGGCCTCTTTATTCCACGTGGAACATTCATCATATACAAATTACCACACCACTCCTTAGCAAATGCACTTGACTTTATACAATCCATTACTGCCACCTAGTGGACTAAACATCCCACTCATTACAACGACCAAGCGGCCAGCGGCAGACAGTGAGCTGATCATAGCCTATGTTTGATCAATTTAGCCTTGTCAAATCATCACGACTTGCCTAAAATAAAATCTATAGATATAAAACAGTTCAAGCATATCACAAAGTTTAGCAAAGTTAGTTTAAATGTTAAAACGATATAAATGTGCGCTATTAGGCGCATATCCAATCGTTTGTGTGAAGAGTGGAAGCTGAAGGCACTTTGCAGGACATGGAGGTGCCAGTGCGATCACTCACTTGCATTTTTTTCTTGATAGTGGAAACAACTTAAAATATGCCTAAATTTTTGCTCATAAAGGTAAGAGTAATACATTCGGAAATGTAAAGGGTCTACATTTATTTGTGTGCATTTACGATATCAACAAAATGTTGTGCTTTTATAAAATAAATAGGAAAACAGAGGATGCATTTGCCGTCTCGTCTTGAACAGGAGCCCGAAACTCAATGAATTGAGTCACAGATATGATAAATATATATGATAAATAGATCTATAGATAGCTGTAAATTACTACTTTAAAACTAAATAATTCAAATCAAAAACAAAAACTCATTCATTATGTATTATATAATCCGTAAAGATGCATTTCTCTCTAAAGGCACGTCCAATGAGGAGATGGCGAGACATTTTTTCATCACCATCTAAACTATAAAAATAAGAAAATGCCTTAAACAGGCCCGATTATATATTTTTCAGATTTTTATGTTGCTCTGCTCTAAATACCTTAAAATTTAAAGGATTTGCTGCAACGCAATTTTGTCTGATATGTGAATTATTTATTATATTTATATAGATACTGATTTTAGTTGGTCTAAATTAAGTAGGTTAGGTACAAATTTGCTTAGGCCTATATGGGTTCCCTTCTAGATATGAGCGCTGTGTGTTTGTATGTGCTTAATAACTGCGCACCCCAGGGGGCCCGCACTGGGGCCCGTCATTACTAAGTTATGCCACTGGGTAGGGGCGTCTCAAATCTCTTTTGATTTTCCGTTTCTATAACGTGTGAATATATCCCCAATCGTATTCTACAACAAAAACAATCAGAGCGCCTTGTTATCGCTAGTTTTATTTTGATTTCCCGAGTCCGCTATTAGCTTATAGCCCGTTAGCATTACCAACGTGGTTGCCGCTAATCTCGCTTACATTGCTAATACTCTATTCACACACGTTACCATAGTTTTACTCACTGTTTCTTGCTTTAATGGCAGATGTGTGTCTACCTTTGAGTGCAGGTGAGGACACGTTCCGCTGGAGGCCGTGGAGAAGCAGATCCGCGACCTGGTGGAGAAGCAGGCCCAGCTGAGGGAGCGGAGAGCCACGCTGGAAACATCCCGGGCTGACACTCACAAGACCGGGTAAGTATACAGCATATGGCGTTCGGACGGATTCTTTAATATGACGTTGCAACATGCACTCGTCTCACTGAACATGACGTCTGCGTCTGCCGAACGTGACGTCTTCGTGACATCTGCGTCTACTACTATTTGTGCTTTATTATACACTCTAAAAAATGCTGGGTTAAATACAACCCAGTGCTGGGTAAAATAGGGACAAACCCAGCAATTGGGTTGTTTTGAACCGGCGGTTGGGTTACTACCCAGAAGGTTGGGTTAAACAGCCCAGTTGCTGGGTTTGTCTCTATTTTACCCAGCACTGGGTTGTATTTAACCCAGCATTTTTAAGAGTGTATCTATTC